GTCATATTGGATTAGGGCCCACCCACATGAGTTCATTTTAGCTTAACGACCTCATCAAAGGCCCTATCTCCAACAGTCATTTCGGAGGTTCTAGGGGTTAGGACTTCAACATATAAATTTCAGGACACACCAATTAAGCTCAGAACACTTCTCAAGTCCTATAATTTATCTCTGGAGTCTTTTGGATTGTTTACATGTAGAATCATGTTGTTGGTGAATATAGTGTGTGTGTGTGTGTGTGTGTGTGTGTATGTGTTCTACAAGAAGAGACAAAGAGGCGAACCAAACAGAGTAAGACATTAAAAACAAAACAAAACAAAACAAAACAAAACCCTCACACCACATGAACAAATGATTCCTGATGAAAAATGCCATTGTAGAGCAGTAATGTAAGAATGATCTTTCCAATGAAGTGGTGCTGAATCTTTGTGTAGATTCAATGCAACGGGCACCACACAGCAGTGAATAAGAGCAAACTACAACATGGATGGCTCCCCCCCAGCATAACGTTGAGCAGAAAGAAGCAGACACACACACACACTTGGGATTAGATAAAGTTCCAAACCATGGAGAAACCAATCTATGGGATTTGAAATGAGAAAAGTAGTTAGCTTTGGGGAAGTGGGAGGTGGACTTCTGGGGTTCTAGTAATATTCTTACTCTTGACCTGGGTAGTGGTTACATAGTACTTTGGAATAATTTATTAACCTACAACCCTTGTTATTTGTACATTTTTATGAGTGCATAAACTTAAAATTTAACTTCAATTAAAAAAAAAGTTCCAAAGTGTTTGCATTCATTCTATATTGCTGGGTAACAAATTCTCACAAACTCAGTGGGTTAACACAACATCCACTGATTAGCACGGTGGTGGCCGCAGCTCAGAAGGGCAGCCTGGGGGCTGTCTCCAGAATGGGGCACACTTCAAAGTTTCCCGGGGCCATTTGCATCCAGGAAGCCTCACTGTAATTGATTTCTGATACGATTTGGGATTTGCATTTCAGCCTTGGACTTCCACTTGCTCTTAATCCATTTCAAAACCATCAAGAGCTGTGAAGAATGCCCGGATGCAATCACATACAAAATCCACTTAAGAAGCACTTTTAAATGAGATTCTCCAGGTCTTGTGAAACCAGCTCTCTGCTGGAGCCATGACTTGGTCAGCAGGGCCTCAGGAAGTGACCGCTCCCTCCCCATCAGCAGAGTTCTGATAAAAGTAAAACGGCACTTGGCATAGATTTCTGGGCTTGCCTTACGGCAGAAGGAGGGGGTGGTTAGGGAGCGGGAGCCCCAGTCTCGGAGATCCCATCTCCCCCACTGTGCTCAGCACAGAATAGCCAGTCAGTAAATATTTGTTGAATTTGATTAGAAGAACTGTTTTGGTGGGAAAGAATTCTAAACCATAGCCACGTCTAAAAGTCTCAGTCAGACTTTTCCAGTAAGTACATCAAGATTATCTTGTCTTCTGTACGGTGAACTCTCCTGAAGAAGTTACCCAGAATGGGCGAGGTTTGTAGCACGCAGGATTTCTTTTTCTCTCCTGGATTGTTGGGGGGAGGGGCATTCTTTGTCGTATCTTCTGGCTCTCGATAGGGAAAGCGAGTTGTTTGCCTGTGGTGCCTCTCAAAGACCTTGCCCTCGTCCCACCCCCACTTTGAGAAATGGAGGCTAAAACGACATTTCCATCAGCCAGAGGTGGGGCAGATGGGGTCAGATTAGCACCGGCAGACACGGGACGGGAGGCTGGGGAAGGTGAAATTCTGGCACACCAGGTTTCTGGACCTCCTAGTCTGTGGGGAGAAGGCACAGGGGGAAGGGTTGGTGAAAGACAGGAAAACAAGCAGTTTACAATACAGTGTTGATAAGATAAGGTGAACTCCAGCAGTGGGTGCCAGGCCAGGGCTCTGGGCTAACCAGAAGCTGGGGAAGGGCTTCCCAGAGCAAATGGCAAGAAAAAAGCCAGTTCAAGTTCCCTCCAAGAACTACCTGCCAGCTCATGGAGAAAGAAATACAAGATCCAATAAACCCTGGGCAACAGTATAAATCCAAATAATGAGATACTCTTTTTACATACAGAATTAGTAAAACTTAAGAGGCTTTTTGCAGCCAGCTGGTTAGGAGAGGGATGTGGGGTGGGGGAGCAGAAGTGGGGGATATGTAGAGACTGGTGCAGCCTTCTTGGAAAATGATTTGTGCATGTCTACCCTTCAACCACGCGATTCCATTGCTAGGAATTTGCTCGCTAGGAAATCTTTCTCTCTCTCAGCAATAAGGCTGTGTCGCTTTCTTATCTTTGTGTGTCCACTGGAGACCCACTTTTCATTTCCTTCAAGAACTTTGCCTTTGCATTCACAGCGTGGCTAACTGTTGGGCAGGGGAGGCTTCGCTCGCAGCCCGTCTCGGCTTTGGACGTGCCTTCCTCACCAAGCTTCATCATTTCTAGCTTTTGTGGCTTTTTGTTTTTTTAAAGATTTTATTTATTTGACAGAGAGATACAGCGAGAGAGGGAACACAGGCAGGGGGAGTGGGAGAGGGAGAAGCAGGCTCCCCGTGGAGCGGGGAGCTCGATGTGGGGCTCGATCCCAGGACCCTCGGATCATGACCTGAGCCGAAGGCAGTCGCTCAACGACTGAGCCACCCAGGCGCCCCCATTTCTAGCTTTTGATTAAAGGGAAAGACATGCGACTCTTCCTTTCCCTTGAACACTTCGAGGTCGCCGTAGGGTTATTAATTGGCTTCATTTCAATATTGGTGTCTCTCGGGGACTGGGAGGCCCGAGGAGAGGGAGAAGACAGGGGAACCAGTGGCCAACGCAGGATTGCCACAGACCTTCAATTTGTACAAAACAAAACAAAAACAAAAGAAAGCAGTATCTGCAGAGTGCAATACAGCGAAGCGCGCGATAGCAGGAGGCGTGCCTGTACTGACTTTCTTTGCACTCTGCTTCTTTGCAGTTCCTAGGGCTGGGTGGTTAGCCTTTTCCTAGACACTGCCCTCCCCCGCATCCAGCTTCCAAGAGCTTCTAGCTAAGCTCCCCGTTCCCGATGCAACTCAGCATGCCACCTGAAGCTTTTAACAAGTCAAAAGGCCACACCGGGAGCTGAAGCTCAGCAGGAACCCAACAGCCGGCTGCTTCTATAGTAAAGTAAATGGGCTGCACCCCACCATTGCTCTGATGGGGCCCTACTCCTCAGTAAAAATTATTTTAAATTTAATTCCCCCAAGATGCAGGTGTGGAAGCCATTAAGGGCTCCTCTCAGCACCTGTGGCCCGTGGTCTGCGCATGGGGGACACTGAGCCTGAAGTGGCCCCGATGCTGCCCGGTCCTTTCTGCCACGGGGTGACCTCGATGGACAGAGATGGGTGAAAATGGCACAGAGGGGCACCTGGGTGGTTCAGTCGGTTAAGCGACTGCGTTCGGCTTGGGTCATGATCCCAGGGTCCTGGGATCGAGCCCCCAGTCGGGCTCCCTGCTCAGCGGGGAGCCTGCTTCTCCATCTCCGTCTCCCTCTCCCTCTGCCGCTCCCCCTGCCTGTGCTCTCCTGCTCTCTGTCAAGTAAATAAATAAAATCTTTAAAAAAAAAATAGCACAGAAAAGCCTCACACCCGTATGCCCCGCAGCAGTGGGTAAACGACAGGCTTTTCCTTCAGAAATTAGAATTAAATGATATCTGGAACTACTCATGATTTGGGGCGAATTACATCATCTGGAGCGCCAAGATGGTAGGTGGGGACTCCGACTCAGGGACACGCCTCTCCAGCGGCAGCCTCAGGGGGCTCCCAGGAACACCAAATAACCACTCGTAGGGGTAACACAGGACCCAGAATAGGGGGTTCATTCCGGTGTCTTGGGGAGCCAGGCGGAGCCTCCACTTGCAATTCCGGCCCACCTGGAATTTACACTCACTCACTCACAGGTGGTCAGGAGCCCCTGGGATCCCCTGGTGACCCTGAACTTCCCCTCTGAGAGCTTCCTAGTCTTTGTCCTCCCGCTGGTGGAGACACCCAACTCAGCCACCTGAGGACACTCAGGACCGAGCACCAGGCTCAACACGCCTTTTTTTGGGAAAAACGAAGATGAAATTCAAGTAAAACTTGGCAATAAAGTATCAAACTCCCTGAGATGAGACTTTTCGGTGGTGTTGAGGGTTTCCTAATTAAAGCAATCATTTTGGGGGCGCCTGGATGGCTCAGTCGGTTAAAGGGTCTGCCTTTGGCTCAGGTCATCATCCCAGGGTCCTGGGATCGAGCCCCCAGTCTGGCTCCCTGCTCCCTGCTCCCTGCTCCCTGCTCGATGGAGAGCCGGCTTCTCCCTCTCCCTCCGCCCCTGCCCCCCCCCCCCGCTCATGCGCTCTCTCTCTCTCTCTCTCTCTCTCACTCCCTCTCGCAAATAAATAAAATCCTTAAAAATAAAAAAAAGCAATCACTTTCTACCCGCTCCTCCAATCTGGAATCACCAACTGCACAGAACAATTGATTTGCTTTTTTTTTTTTTAAGAGTAAATCTGATTTTTTTTTTTTTTTCTAAGAGGCAACCAATGATAGAGGCATTTGGGCTAGTTAACCAGTTTAACAAGACCCCGCCTTTTCCATCCCACTTTGTCCCAGGTCTTCACCGCCCTCACCTCAGCCCGGGAGAGGCTCCGCAGGGTGATGGGCGTAGGTCTCCGCCCACTCCCCCCCCTCCCGCCCTCCTGCAGGCCCTCCCCACCGCTGGCGTGGCTGTTGAGAAAGGAGAGGCCAGGGCCGGGCTGGCTCCCCAGCTAAGGTCAAAGCATTCCTTAGGACCCAGCTGGGTGGTGAGCCCCCAGTCTCCCAGACATCCTGGCTCCTGCTCTTCCTAAGACCTTCTGGGGAAAGCGTATTTCTCATCGGGGACACTCTTCTTTCTGAATTCCCATTTTCACTTCAGGAAATTCATGTTTTCCTTTGGGTGTTTTAGCAACGACCATGAATGAAAGCCATGAGGACCTTTTTTCCCCCTTAACCTGTTAGGAGCTATGGACCGCAGAAAAATGGAGCGCTTCTCTTGCAGGTATGAACCTATCCTGAATGTGAACTTCAGGGATGCTGTTTTTTTCCTAAAGACCCAGAACTTCACACTTAACAGAGTTCCGTCCAGCTTTGCCGTTGGTTTTTTTAACATTTTCAATGGGGTTAATGGCGCGGCCTGGGAGATAGATGACTAGCGTTTTCCTCTCTTGGGTAAGAAAAGATCAGTATCAACAACCAGATTAAAAATCTGCTCCTGAGAAGTTTCAAGGCATAGATTCAGTATTTGCAAAACTGTGAAGAGTTATAGGCGGGATTTGTTTTAACCTGAAAATCTTTCAAATGGCCGGTTTAAATGAAATCGTTTGTAAAATGTGATTCACTGATTACAGAGAATGTCATGCAGTCATTTTTAAATTCTTATATGAAATCTGACAGCAGAATATGCGTTCTGTGAAATCGAAGCTAAAAGATTTATGCCTACTTAAAATTATGGCTCTAGGAGGACAGAGCCTAAGAAGTCATGATACAGATGGAAAAGAATTGCCTTTTAGGTGATTTTTATTCTCATCGTGTTTCTTGATGTTGTTACATAAGTTAGCCATTTGAAAAGAAAGGAAGGAGAAAGAAAGGAGGACTCTACAATTTCTCCCTAGTGGTCTGTGGTCTTGTCCTTGTGCTGGGAAGACCCAGGTGTTAACTCTGTTAACGCAAAAGGTTTTATTTGCCTTGTTTTGCTAACGGGTGTCTGATTTCGTCTTCCCAGTGTGATTCTGATCATGGCCATTTCCAAAGCGTTTGAACTGGAATTGGTTGCTGGTGAGAGACTTTTTGTCATTTTGATCAGCAGCAATTGTCACCGGGCCTGAAATCCTGAGCCCACCGGTTGATTTTTGTCATTTAGGCTTGGGTCACCGTGAACTTGCCAGGAGAGAGCCTCCCTTAAGAGATGACAGCGTTCGGTCCCGGGAGGAGCCTGCAGTCCGTCACCGGTCTTCCCAGTTTGTGCCGTCGTTAGGAATCCAGGATAGTAAGACCCACCTGCCTTAGATCTACTGCGTGCTATCACCGTCCTGGTCCTTCCTGTTAACTCTCTTCCTGATGCTCTTTCTCCTGGGTGGCAAGCTGATTCTGGAGCTGGGCAGAGGGATGGACCGGGCTTGGCCCTGGAGCCTAGTCCGGCATTGTGTACTTGACCTCCGGGGGATGCACTAAGTTTCCCTCCTGATTCCCAGGGCTCTGGGAACCACCCCTGGCCTGAGGACGTAAAAGCTTTCTCTGCTCGGAGGCTCAGGTAGCAGAACCACACTAAAAAGCAAGCGTGCTGTTCTGTGCGGTTCACAAGATTTAGACATCTCCAAGCACTGGGGAACCCAAGCCCTCAGCACTGTGTTAACCTTTGCTCCCAGGAGCTTAGCTTTTCAGTCCCCCCCACCCTCTCAGCCACCTCTCCTTACATTTCAGGTAAGGAGTTAAACAGAACTTGCTGCCTGAATGGGGGAACCTGCATGCTGGGGTCCTTCTGTGCCTGCCCCCCCTCGTTCTATGGCCGCAACTGTGAGCATGATTCCCGCAAAGAGTAAGCCATTAAAGGGGGCAGGGTGGGCGGAGAGGAAAAGAGGCAGGAGTTAAAATCCGTATGCATCGCCTTCTCTGTTCCTTCTTGCCCAGGAACTGTGAGTCCGTGCCCCATGACACCTGGCTGCCCAAGGGATGTTCCATTTGTAAATGCTGGCGCGGCCAGCTTCACTGCTTTCGGCAGACGTTCCTACCGGGCTGTGGTAAGCCATAGTCCCCTCTTTTGTCCTTTCAAGTTCCTCGGTTGTTGTGGCCACTTGGTGAGGGGGGAGGGGTCTCTCCTCTTACCCCACGGCTTGCTAGATCCTGGCAGCCGAAGGGCTGCTTACTAAAAGCATCAAGGGCTCCAGATGGGGTGGTCACGCTGGTGTCCCTAATATCTCATGCCTCAGAAATGTCACCTTCCAGCTGGAGAGTTACGTCAAGGCTATTTGACGTGTTATAGTATGTAATCTTCTACACAAGAAAACACCAAGAGGTGCTCTTGGGGGTTCCTTCCCTTTGGGCAGGGAGACCCAGACAAGCTCCAGGCAGACAACTCCCAACTCCTGCCCTTCAATTCCACCAGAGGCTTGACCCCCACCCCCGTCTTGTTCCTCAGGAACTTCCTCATGGATCCTCAAGGCCCCCCCCCACCCCGCATGGACCCCTTGGTGAATGGTCCCAACCCTGTCACCTTGCAGATTTTTATTGATTTGAGGAAAACAGTAGCGAGAAGGACAGGGACCCAGAGGAGAGGGTTCTCACCCTGCCCCGCCCTGAGCCATATTTCTCGGTCCCCCCAAGTTCAGAGGCCTCTCAGAGTTCTGACCCTGGAGATGTTAGAAATTGCACATGGTCAGGATGCTTCACTTGAGTACAGGTGGGGAGCCCTGACCCAGATGGGGACTGTGGCTTTTCCACTTGCATCCTGGCTGTGTCAGGCCCAGGATGGGTGTTTGGTAAGTGTGAACGGGATGACTGGAGGGGTGGAGACTGTATTTTCTTCCTGGAACTTGGGGCCCAAAATGTGTTGTCTCCTCCTCGTCGATGCCTAACCAAGTCCTGCGGCACCCCTGCCATTGAAGGTGCCACCGGCTGGGGTAAGTTTCCAGGTGTGAGAGCACATGTCCAGGGAAAACCCAAGTTAACGGTAGGCCTATGGCGACTTTTGCTGAAAGAGTTGTTTTTTTTTTCAGGGGAGCCTGAATTCCATGTGATTGGTACTCTTGGTCCCATAAGCATAGCTCTACTCATCAAATGTTGAGTCCCAACTGATTTTTGGCTGGTAGAGATGTGCAACGTGGGCAGGATAAACTGCTGGAGGGATTTCCTTTAATGACCAAGTGTCCCTACCTTTCAGATGGCCACGTGATGGATGAGCACTTCCTGGTCTCCAGGACTCCAGAATTAACACTGTCTTCGGGCACCATTTTTTCGCTAGCTGGCGTCTGCCTTGCTCTACAAAGTTACTGTTAATGGACATTTGCATATGCAATATTTGTCATGTGAGTTTCATAACCTGTAAAGGCTGTCCTTCCAGTGTCCTAACTGAGAGATGATCATTTGTTAGTTGCCTTGAAACAGCGAATGGATTTTTATCATGGTCCCTAACATTTTCTTCAAGTACCAACTACTTTCCTCTGCCCTGCCCTCTCCCAAAAACTTCTTTAAAAAGTCAGCTAGGGCGCCTGGGTGGCCCAGTTGGTTGGGAAACTGCCTTCAGCTCAGGTTATGATCCTGGAGTCCTGGGATCGAGTCCCACATGGGGCTCCCTGCTCAGAAGGGAGTCTGCTTCTCCCTCTGACCCTCCCCCCTCTCATACTCTCTCTCTCAAATAAATAAATAAAAATCTTAAAAAAAAGAAGAAGAAAAATAAATAAATAACAAGTCAGCCATAGGGGCTGCTGGGTGGCTCAGTGGGTTCAGCTTCTGCCTTCAGCTCAGGTCCTGATCCCAGGGTCCTGGGATCGAGTCCCACATCGGGCTCCCTGCTTCGCGGGGAGCCTGCTTCTCCCTCCATCTGCCTCTGCCTGCCGTTCATGCTCTGTCTTGCCCTTTCTCTCAAATAAATAAATAAAATATTTTTAAAAAAAAGTCAGTCATATCTACTCTGTGACCAAGATCTACATTTCTTGATACACGTATCTCTACCAAGGGTTTCTTACTATTTTCCTTTAACAGTTGAATTCTATCTTCAGATTATTAAAGGCTACTCCTAATGTGGAACTGAGGCTTTGAGTAGAGTTGACCAAAATCAATTAAGACCTCATTTTTATTTTTTTAAAGGTTTTTTTATGTATTCCTTTGAGAGAGAGATAGAGAGCACACAAGCAGGGGGAGAGGCAGAGGGAGAAGCAGGCTCCCCGCTGAGCCAGCCAGGAGACCGGTGCGGGGCTCGATCCCAGGACCTGACCTGAGCCGAAGGCAGACGCTCAACCATCTAAGCCACCCAGGCACCCCAAGGCCTCATTTTTAAAAAGAAAGGAAAGGAACAGTCTGTAAAGAAAGCAGACAAGAGTGCAGAGAGCAGATACTGGAGGTGAGGGACTGGATGCTGAAGTATTAGAAGTGTGCGTATGTGTGTGTGTACCAGGGAGACTGGGTAGAAAAGAGGAAGCAAATGGGAGAGATATTGGGGAAAACAAAATGAATTACTTGGTTGATGATTAGATGGGCCCAAAAAGCAAGTTAAAAAGCTAAGTTGAAAGGCAAGTTTCTTTTTTTTTAAATTTAAATTCAATTAATTAACATATAATGTATTTGCTTCAGGGGTACAGGTCTGTGACTCATCAGTCTTATACAATAGCCAGTGCTCATTACAACACATACCCCCCCAATGTCCATTACCCAGTTACCCCATCCATCCACCCTCCCCTCCAGCAACCCTCAGTTTGTTTCCTATGATTGAGAGTCTTATGGTTTGTCTCCCTCTCTGGTTTCATCTTGTTTCTCAAATTCCACACATCAGTGAGATCATATAATTGTCTTTCTCTGATTGACTTATTTCACTTAGCATAATACCCTCTAGTTCCATCCACATCGCTGCAAATGGCAAGATTTCATTTTTTGATGGCTGCATAATATTCCAGTGTGTGTGTGTGTGTGTGTGCGTGCGTGTGTGTGTGTGTGTACCACATTTTCTTTATCCATTCATCTGTCAGTGGACATCTGGGCTCTTTCCATAGTTTGGCTACTGTGGACATTGCTGCTATGAACATTGGGGTGCAGGTGCCCCTTCCAATCACTACATTTGTATCTTTGGGGTAAATACCCAGTAGTACAATTGCTGGGTCGTAGGGTAGCTCTATTTTCAACTTTTTGAGGAACCTCCATACTGTTCTCCAGAGTGGCTGCACCAGCTTGCATTCTCACCAGCAGTGTAGGAGGGTTCCCAAAAGGCAAATTTCTATCATCTATAGAAAGTTGTAGAAGACAAGGACACCCCCTTTTTTTCTCAATGCATTGTAAAGGGGATGGAGTCTTCCCTGGAAAAAAATTCTAACTAAATTTCTCCAACAAGAGAGCTTAATAAATTACGTTTTCTCCATACCTTGCAAGTATTTTAACTTGCAAGAGAGAAAATGTTCACAATATATTTTGTTGTAAACCAGGTGATAAAACTATGTATTTTAAAACTGCATTGTATATGTGAGTATGCCCAGTAAAAATGGGAAATCTATTGACCAAAGTGTGAACTGTGGTTATTTCTGGGCTTTGCTGTGACAAGTGCTTTGCAGTGGTGGGTTTTTCCCCTCTGTACTTTGTGTTTCCCACAGTGAGGGTGGGTTGCATCTGTTTTCATGGGGAAAGCCAGGACTACATCAGGCTCAAAACTTAAGTAACTAGAAGAGCCAAGAGCGCAGACTCAGTGTTGTTTCTGGCTTTGGTGTGTGTTCTCTGCTGTGAAGGACAACATTTGCTTCCATCATTTAGGTACCACTTGGTCCCCAATTCTTGTTTCTCCAAATTAATGCCCTGCAGATGCAAAGTTCCAAAGGTGCATCCTAAAGAGCTCAGAGCATGGGGGTGGGCTGCCCAGTGTGGAAGGAAGGCTGGTCTAGCCACTTAACTTGTGGGGGCGGGGGGGCGTGGAACCGAGTGTCCCAGCCCAGCCTGCAACCGGGGTGTGTCCCTACACCACAGTGTTGTTAGAATAACATAAACTAAAATAGAGCACTAGTACAAAAATTCTCAACAAATGGCACAATTCTTCCCTTTCTACCTGCCTGTTTACCAGAGTGGTTTTTGCCCAGAAATGGAAATTCATAAAAGGAAAAGGCAACTTCAGAATATTGAAAAGCGCTTCTCATTTGCATGCAAATAACCTGAAACCGCTCTGCAGGTGAGGCTGGGCCAGTGTTTTCCAAACCTGGGCATTCACACGTCACCTCAGTTTGGGCCACAATATCCGTACTTAATTTTTTTAATATCAACTCATTTTTTTATTGTGGTAAAATACACATAACATAAAAGTTGGCATTGCAACCATTTTTAACTACAAAGTTTGGTGGCTTTCAGTACGTCCACATCGCTGGGCAACCGCCCCCACCATCCCTCTCCAGAACTTTTTCATCTTCCCAAATTGAAAGTTTACCCATTAAAGAGTAACTCCCCATTCCCCTCCCTGCCCCTAGCCCCTGGGAGTTGAATCTACTTTTTGTGTCCTTGAATTTGACTATTCCAGACACCTCCCATAAGTGGAGCCATAAAGATGACTGGCATATTTTGCTTAGCACAATGTCTTCCAGGCTCATCCATGTAGGGGCATGGGTCAGAACTTCATTCCCCATGTGAAGGTGGAACAATATTCCATGGTATGTATGTTATCATTCATCCACCCATGGACATTTGGGTTGTTTTCCCCTCTTAGCAACTGAATAATGTGCTGTGAACATGGGTGTACCTGTTCACATCCCTGCTTTCACTTCTTTTGTGTATCTCCTCACAAGCAGAATTGCAGGATCATATGGCAATACTCTGCTTTGATTTTGTGAAGAACCACCATTCCTGTTTTCACGGTGGCTTCACCATTTTGCAGTCCCACCTGCGGTGCACAGCGGCTCCAATTTCTCCACATCCTCAACAGCACTAGCTGCTGCCTGGGTTTCACTTTGTTTTGCTTTTTTAAGACTAGCCATTTTTCGTGGGTGTGGAGTAGTATCTCACTGTGATCTCGATTTTCATTTCCCTAACGATGAATAATGTTGAGCATCTTTTCATGTTCCAATCGGCCATCAAGTCATTTTCTAAAATGCTTTTTACCGGTCCAAAGCAAATTGTGAAGTCCTGGACAATTTACACAAGGCCTGAAATGTAAAAGCAATAATAACGAATAGTAACCATGGTCACCTGTGCACCATCTCTAATCATGAACCACACACGTACACTTTGGGAAATGGTGCTCCAGAGGAGGCAAAAGATGTAGATCCTACCTTCAAAAGGCTTACAGGCTCCTCAAAGCAAAGCGTCCATGTGATAAGGACAGTTCCGGCCAACACGCCCAGCAACTGGGGGAATAAGTATCAGGGTCCCGAGGAGGTGATCCAGGTGTCCATCGCAATCAGCCCCTCCTGCTGTGGATTCACTTCCTCCAGGATTCTGACCAGTCCTGGGGGAACTTTAAAGGAGTAGTGGACCAGGCTGCGGTCTCCAACACTGCAAATGACCTCGGGGCATAGCTGATAACACAGTCCTCTCCTTCCTCCTCCACCCATTCTAACATTACCTCACCCTGAGTTGTCACTGCTGATGCTTTATATGGCTCACCTGGTGGAGTGACAAGACCCTTGTCCCCAAGGTCTGTGCCCCTGACCACCCTGCCCTTCTCAACTGTGGCCACAGTATTTGCCCATTGACCATCTAGCTGGGCAGGGAGGACCCAGATCTGCCCCAGGGAATCACCTGGGCTTTGGACCCTCCACAGAAGCCAATTGTTAGGTGTTCTGTCCTGGAGAGGAAGCATCTCCTTGTTCAAGGTGGTCCCCTTCGAGGGCAATTCCCAATGAGATGCAGCTATGAGCCAACACTCCTTTCTGATTTATCTGACAGGAAGTCCTGCCTCCTGGGTGGGTTCTTCCTCCCCACCGCCTTTGTGCACGCGCACGCACACGCGCACACGCGCACACACGCACACGCACACGCACACACTGCATGGGTCTAGCTGCTTCAGTAACAGTAAATAATTAGTTCCCTACTTACATTTCCTGGGGTCCATAATTACTTATCCTTCTGCCTTATGTTATTTTATGGAACCGTGCACATAACATTTCACCTCAGGACTTAGCTGACAATGTTCAGCAAGTAATCATGCAACAATTGACAGTTAATTGCTTCCTTCACTTCACAGCTTAGACATTCATCGGGGACCATGAGCTAGTCCCAATTATTAGCCAATATTCTCTAGGGATCCCTCTCTCCCTGCAACAAGGTTCTAAAACAAAAACAAGAAAAAAAGGGACGGGGGAATTCAGGGAGTC